GGAAACCCAGTGGACTACAAATGACTGTATTGTCCAAACGCAATGCTAGAGTTGAAGGAGAAGATTTATGGACAGGAAAAGGCCACGTTAAAAAGCACTGTTAGAAGTAGCATCACACAGTAGCTGACCCATGCTTTGCAGTACAATGATGAGCCTCTCTCACAAATAGGATGTTCAGCCAGCTGAACACACCTCTGAGTGTGTTACACAAGAAAAGATAACAAAGTGTCCATCCACCCACCTTCCTTCCCTCCTCCATATCCAGGTTTTCTTGTATATGACTCTGCTTTATGATTTAAAGTACACCAGGTGATAGAATGAATTACTCTAGGAGAAAGAGGACCTGGGATTTATCTGCTAAAACCTTACCATCTAGTGATACAGTCTTTTCAGGTTTGAGGTGACTTAGCTATAAGTGAGGAAGATTTGCATGACTCCATTCCATTCCGTGAAATGTTTTTCATTATGTTGCAAGAACCTCCTGAGTTGCCAAATTTAAAAGACAGGGAGTTTTCATTAGGAAAGCTGAAATCCATTAGAAGCGAACATGGAAATAAAGGTAGGTCATATGTGTTTTGGGAATCCTATCTTTAGGAAAGCATATTAAATATATTAAATGGAATCAGGCATCTTCTCTCATATCCCATGGGAAATCTATTGTCTCATTTTTCCAAAAATTTCTAGGTCATACATATTAACATTGTCAGTTTTTTCTTTGACTTTGGCGGGTCCGAGTTCCTGTCCCTACCAAGCAATGGATTTAACATAAATCTAATCTCCTATGTCCTCCTTTGTTCTAGGAAAGATATCTCATCTGTGAGGGGTAACCCAGGGCAGAGCATTTGGTGACAGTCTTGATGTTTTCATGGAATTCTGGCTCCGGCATCAATTGGGCGGGTAGCTTTGATATAGGGGGAAGAGCTGCAACTCCCAAACCTAACATATCTGAAACGCGAGTTCGTATTCTCTAAAATCGAAGAATGAATTCTAGGAACAACGGAGGTTAAGAGTAGGAAAAATTTATTGGGAGAAAGAAAGCTTCTGCCTAGGAGAGACAGAAGGGGGACCTGAAAGTGGGTTGCCCGCTCACCCCACTTTTCAAAGATGTTTTATACAGCAAAGCCACGTGGTGAGGCGGGTGCAAAGTGGGACAAAACTATAAGACCCAATGGAAATTTACAAGGTGGGCATGAGGTGGGACAAGACCTTGACCGACCAGTAAGATTCTAAGTACAGTCACCCAGGTCATATTGATTAAATGGGGATCAAATGGGAAAACAAGACACATACAAGGAATTTTCCATGTAGAATATCAATCACTGCCATCTATCCCAGGGGAAGTAGCGCCTCCTTTTGATAATGCTAACCAGTGAATGTGCCTCAATTGTTCTCCATGTCGGCTCCTGGAGGGCTGATGCCTTAAAGGAGGCCCTGTCTAACTGCCTGCAAGGTATCTAATTGGCTTACCTATCTGCAATAGCTTAACTTTAGTGTTCTTACTTTGTCCCAGCCGTAGAAAACAAAGGTAACAGGTCAGTGAGTTACAGAGGGTGTGGCATTATAAGTGGAAATAAAGAAATGGAATGCTCTGATGTTTCCTTTACCTAATCGTTTCATAGAGATTTATTGGTCATCTGTGGTAGCACATGAAAAGCACTGCATTAGAAGCTGGGGTTACCAGGAAGACAAACTAGTAGGGTGACAGTCCTGCAGGGTGTAGTTGCCCGGAAGATGGGTTCGGCCCTTTGTCCGTGAGCACCCGGAGGGTCTGACCTGTCAGTGCCATGCGGCTGCTTGCAGAGAATCCAGTATGGCCTCAAAGCTGCAGCCACCCCTTCGGGATCGGCACCTTCACGCAGGCCACCGCAGGGCCTTCTGAGCCCGGCCCTTCGCGCCCAGCCTGCTTCCTTGTGGTCTCTTCACACAGCGGCAGGAGAGACTATGAGAAGCTGAGAGACGGTTTATGACTCCGTTTAGCTCAAGACCTTCTAAGACCCCACTTTCTGGGAGCGAATCTGAGTCGACGGCGGTCCTGTTAGGCTCTGCGCAGCCTCTGGGGCGCCTGTCCTGCCCATTCTCTGGCATCTTTCTACCACACAGACATGCCAAGCGCGCCTCCTCGCTGTGACTGCTTTTCTCCTGGCCTAAAGTGCACGTTCCAGATGCAGGGGCCCAGCCCCTCTTGCCTTCCTGTGTTTTACCAGAGGTTTGCTCAGAACCTGTACTTTGACCACTTTCATCAAAGAGCACTTCTACCACCCAGCCCTCCATTCCTCTTCATCCTGAATCACTGCTGCTAAGAGTGCTTGCCTCATCTGACATGCTTCATGTTATTGGCTTCATGTCTGTTTCTGTGTTTCCTAGAATATGAGCCCCCGATCTGTGTCTAGAACAGTGCCTGGTACCTGGTACCTGAGATGCCCTTGATAAGGAAGCTTTGGAACAGTGAGACAGGGCTGGCTGTGCGAGTTTTGAGGCACTAAGAACGGTGAATTACGAACTTTCTACGGAAAAGACAGTGAGCCACAGAGCAAAAAGAAGGAAGTGGAAGGAGATCTTTCCAAACTCCTTCTGCAGTTTTACTGACAATTAAAATGAAATTCGTGTGTCCTAGTTTAGGCTTGTCATGGGGAGTGGAAGGCTCGTAAAATGACTAGCTTATAGCTATATGGAAAACTATTTTCCCTGCAAAGAATTCCTGGTTTATTGTGTTGGAGTTGTAGACTTGATGAACTTTCCTGAAGTAACTTCACGGTCTTACCTGCAGCAGAAAAGTGCTTCGGGTCAAATCATTTAGGTAGCTAAAATGCAAAATGAGATTTTCTTGATCTACTTTTTCTCCTGTCCTCTTTTAAAGACCGCACTTCTTTTGCATTTTGCATTACAGGTCAGCAAGACATTTTCAAAATGTCTGAAATTATTGTTTTCTCTTTCCTTGGCTGTGAGTTTCTTCCCCTGGCTGCTTCTATTAAGCAACTCGAGTGTTTTCCTCCTGGCTCCGGGCCGCTCAGCTGAGTGATGACTGCATCTCCTTGGTGGGGACACCAGAATGCCAGGCCCTGCCTGGAAACCGTGGAGCTTGGGCAGGCCACTGTCATCCCAAATGTGAGATGGAAAGTTTGCTTTTGAAAAATGCACATGGTGAAAGAAAACATGTTATTTAAGCATGGGAATAAAAGCAGAAAAGAAAAATATAATGCCCCAAATGAGAACTGTACTGAAATAGTTGAATTAGGGGGAAAATAAATGTGTCGATTTCTTATGAAGATAAGAAGTGTTGCTAAAAGAAAGCAGACTGACAAGTTTTGAACTCTGTTGTAGTATTACCTCTAGATGTGTTTTTATTCCCTGATTGCGGATTAAATCACTTCTATATGAAGTAACAAATTCACTTTGACTTTGAGTTCCTTACAACCTAGCCACGAGGAGGAGGAGGGAACCTAAGTACGGAGCATTAAGTCCTAGTTTGTGTAAGTTTTGCCCTAAGGTTGGCTCCAATTTTACCAAGATGGCTGCTGCTGCTCCTGCTCCTGGAGAGAAGTTGTCAGCGGAGCAAATGTGGCTGGAGAGGCAGCCGGGAAGGGGGAGCGAAATCTATCGCCATGGAGGGGTTGAACTCTTGTTCAAGTACCTTCACTCAGAGCTGGGGCAGCCTGATTTTCCCTCTGACAGATGAATGATGATAAGAGACCAGAGCTGCATCCGGCAATGCCAGTCACTCTTGTGGACTGTGAGGTAGAGTTTGCACCTGGGACAGCATGTCCCTCCTGAGTGAAGCCTGTCCAGTTCTGAGGTCACAGCTGGATAAGTTGGCCAGGGCTTGGGATGACTTCTAAGACTCTCAGAGAGCAACCATGTTATGGAGAAAAGTAAATCAGGTGCTGAGCATGGCGGTAGAGGAAATGGATATGAATTTCAGCATTGGGAATACAAGGAGGCTAATCTTTTTGATAAAATGGGCAGTCTGATTTGAATGTCATGATCAAATCTTTATTTTTATTTCACAAGCAATGCATTATAGAAGTATAGAACACAATACAAATATCTCATAATTTTGTTCCACTTTTTAGATGTAATTTCATATTCCTCTTCTTATAGAACAAGAACTTTAAAAATATCCTAAAACCTGCTTATAATAGAGATTTAAGTGTTGCATATAAAGTTTAAAAATAACAGAAAAAAATCATAAAATAATGATATTATTATCAAAAAAGAGCAAGTTTGAGTGGATTCCTGAAGACATGAATAAAACTATATTTCCTCTCTATATCTATATCACCTATAGATATATGTGTGTGTTTCTTATACGTAAATACCTATGACAAGGTGTAATTATAAATTAGGCACAATAAGAGGTCAGCAACAGTGACTCAGAAGAAATTGGGGCAATACTAACAGGCTGTAGTAAAATTTAGGTGGATGTGACCTTTCTCTGTCTGCCTCTCAAAATATCTTACCATATTTTGCTCACCCTTCTTTTGACTGTCTATGGGTAATGAAAACCACAGGAAATAAAGTAGGGAATGGAAAACTTGATATGCAGCCATGCTAACGTTCCTTCGTGGAAATTTATACAGAATACTGTTTGTGGATTATGCACTTATTAATTTCCTTATTTTAAGTTCTTGATATGAGGAGTAGGGAGAAAGGGGAGTGGGGAGAGGGAATGAAGGGAAAAGGAAAGAGAAGAGGAGAGGGAGGATGTGTGCTGTAAGTACCTAAGACAGAAGCGCTGTGAGGGTTTTGGAAAGATATGTAGTCCTGGGGGTGCATAAGCCGCTTTTATTCAAATTCTGTAAGTTCATGAACAAAAATTACTTAGAAGATTTTCATTGAGTTTGGGCATATTTTCTTTCTTCAGCAGGATTCTAACCTTTCCATGTCTAAGGTTTATAGCTTCAGCCGTACTTGATTTATATAAGCAAAAAGAAAAACCTTAGCAGTATTTTTTATAACTGCAGAAGCATATTTATTCCATTTTCACATAACTCACACATAGCTAGACAGATTCTGCTTAAGCCTTCAAAAGAAATTCCATTTTAGACTAGACACTAATGTGGAAAACTGGAGACCACATGACTTCACGTATCTAGAAGAGACACTGGAGGCAATCGGGAAGGAATTCGGTGGTGTGGTCCTTCCACAGTGAGAGGTAAAGCCATTGATGAGGTAACTGGGGTGTTTTTCTGGATTATTCCATATATATTTGTATGTTTATTTTCTAATTCTATAGATTGCTTACAATTGATTTGGAAAATGTAAATTTAATTTTAGTTGAGTAACTGTTTTCATTTTTGGAAAACATACAAGTTACTGTTTGGGTTGTACAATTTAATGCATCTTTCTCACAAAAGCATGGAGAAAAGCAGAAGTTACAAAACGTGGTGGAGAGCTCAAGCGTCTGACGTACCAGACGCCAGCTCTTCTGTGTGGAGAACCCCGCGGACTTCAAAGGGCCCACTGCCTGGAATCCAGACCCATGGAGCAGGAGAGGGTGAAAGTCTGCTGACAATTGCCAGTTGCAGAGTCTCAGCCAGTTTTTATAAACTTGGAAGCTGTCCTTTTTGATTTTTATCAGTGAAAAATGTCGGGAGTTGCTTCTAAAGTTTTTCATTTCTTTACATTTGTACAGACTAAAATAAGTTGGAAAATCTTTGGTTTTCATTAAGTGAGTCCCAATTATAACCCTTAAAGTGTTAATACTAATATTTCCTTCAGGGAGAAGTAAAACACTTTTTATTTCTACACATTGATTAGAATCATATTGTTTTAAGCTTGGAAAATCTTTGACGATTACAGTGGAGAGTGAATTTATTTTACAGGGAAACTATTTTAAAATATAATTTTACTTAATAAGTTTTCACATTCAGTGGCTTCTTCTGCTCAGAGTATGATGCTTTCCAAGGTGAAATAAGAAAACCTCCAAATATGCTTCCCTCCCAACTGCTTTCCCTGAGTTATCAGCCAGCCACCTGACCACATCAGAAGCAGAAAGGAGGCTTTGGGCGTCCAGCCAGGGACAACAACATTAGCTGTGGTGGAAAACATCACCAAAGAAGTACAGCTCATGCAAACGTAGGTTCTGTTTTGTTTTTTTGAACACATACATCCATAAAAGCACCAACTGGATCTTACACGGCAAACTCAGGCAGTCCTGAATAGACAGCAATAGCAAACACCCCCACTGCCAGGGGGTTGTCTTACTCATCGTGGAAGTCGCTGAAGAATTTGACTTGAGATAAATTTTATTTTCAGAAAAATTTATCACTAACATTTAAATGTAAATGTCATATGCCCTTTATGGTAAAGTGTGAGACATTTGCCTTGCAGGTGTGTTTGTGTGTTCAGCCTAGAATAACTTAGCGGTGTTCTCGTGGTGAGGTCTCTTACAGAAGCAATTGGTTTCTCCTCCTCATTAGCCTAGGACCCAGTGTCAGGCAAAGCCAATGAGCAGACGTGGGAAGGGGAAATGTGTCTCTGTATTTTATAATGGGAAAACAGTTCTTCTAGGTATCGAGACAGTGAACTATTCATTAGCTTGATCCACACATTGCAATGCAAGCAGCTTGCTTCTTTTTTGTTCCTTGAATTTGGGATTTTTTTCTCTGCCTTGTGTACAGTAGAAGATATTAGGGTTTTTTTCCTGAACAGAGCTTCGGTGAGGTTTGCCGCCCCTGGTCATACAGCCTGGCAGCCACAGTGAGCGCACACATCTGCCATGTTGGTGTCCAGGAGCACACTCATCCATCACAGCTGTTATTGACAGTTCACGTCGAATGTCCAGGCGGATAGAAGGAATAGAAATGAGCATTGCCTAAGCTACACAAAGCTGAATTGATTAGTTTTCACCCTGGATTTTTATCAATACCTTCTGTTCTTTTTATCCTAATCTTTCTGTGTTGCTCAACATTTGCTTACAAAATTTAAAATATCACTTCTAATGATTCCAGTATTCAAGAATGCTAAAATTTTGCTGGGGTGAGAGATCCATGCCAAACACAGTTCACTGGAAGGTCTGTTTTGTGTTTGGTTCCAGTACAAGAGGAAATAGTGAAATCTGCCACAGTTTAAATATATACATATATATAGCAAATACTTTAAGTTATGTATTTCTGTAATACATGATAGGACATATGTAAAATAATATATTAAGTTGAGTGTATTTTTTAAATTTTAGTGTCATATGTAAGAGTAGAAACTGCCTATTTGTCATCTCTCCTTCTCTCTCTATCTCTGTAAAACCAGCAACCATTTCTCCTGAAAATCTGTCCTGGAATATTATGTCTCTTATATGCTGTGCACTATTTTATTTCTACAAAACTATGCTTTTGAACCAAGTAAAAAGAAAGTTTGAGGGTTTGATATGAAAATCAGATGTCTCAGCACATTCACATACATATACCTGTAGGGTATATGAATAGATTCATTCAATCTGATTAGAAATAAAAAGGTATCGTAAGTGAAAGGAAATTACTGGTTATGTGCAAGATTACAAAGATAAAGAGACATTTTGTGGCAGTTATCTATAAGGGAAGGATGATTGGAGGTAATTCCGTGGTTTGGCACAGCATGATTCTTCTTCCGTTCACCATTTGTTCTTATTCTGACATCATCACAATCAACCATTAATTTCTGGAAAAACCTTTCATGAATATAAATCCCCAGCATTCAGAATTTTTTGTGGCCTGTATTTCAGTGACACAGAAGGAGGAGAGGGCCTGTGTAGCAGGATGATGCCAGGCTTCCTTTGTTTCGTTTAGATTCCAAAAATAGAGCATTTGAGTCCATCTGAAAGTCGTATTTGTGGAATTCTTATTTCAGACCTTGCACAGTAATAAATGCCACTCTATTCAAAGTTACCTTTTATTTCTTCTGTCTATTCTGTCTTCCTTTAGTGATCTTATCCAATCCCAAAGCTTAAATTGCGGTGCCTATGCTGATTACTTGAATATATATCTCCAGCCCAGACACAGACTTCTCATCCGGCTACCTATGGGACCCTTTCCCTTGACCTTCTAAATGTAGATAATCAAACTGCTGATCTCTTCACCTGTCTCACCATTCCCTTTGTCTTTGTCTCAAAGAAATAACTGGCTGCTCGGGTAACATAATTTGAGGGTTTTTTCCTTTTTATTTCACATGTGCTTTCCAATCTGCCAGTAAAATTTATTGGCATTAGTATAAAAGGGCATCCTGCATCAACTCACTCCTCTGCTCTTGCATTGCTCCATTATCCACCTGGACTATCTCAGTGGCCTTGTAACTGGTATCCTTCTTTCACCCTGCAATAGCAGAGTCTCAGTACAGCAGATGGAATTTTTTCAGTTTGACTCTTCAAACTTGAGTCAGATCATGGTGTTGCTCTTTTTTAACAGCTTAAGAACCTATTTAAAATGTCTCATTGTATCCCGCAAAGATCTTCCCAAGAACTCCGTGGTTCTACGTGGTCTCATTCTCCAGTCTTCTTAAACACCTTCTAAAATTTCCATTGCTACACGGACAAGCTGAGCCTATTTCTGCCTCAGAGTTTTTCACTTTTTCTCCTTCTGTCTAGAATGCTCCCCACACACACACACACAGACACACACATACAAAATTACATTACTCGTGCTTTGGGGTCTTCACTCAGCACAATTTTCTTTGGTAGTTCTATCTATATTATACCCACCTCCACTATCACACTTGAGCCCCTTACATAATTTAATTTTTAAACATTTACCACTATTTGGTATGATGTACTACATGTCCTTACTAAAATAAACATTCCCTGAAAACCCAGATTTACTTTATTTTCTGCTGTAACTTTGGAGTCTAGAAGAGCATATGGCATATAATTGGCATTCAAAAAATATTGCTATCTTGATTACACTGGCTAAGTGATAGGATGATATAATAGATTTCACATTGGTTTAATGTTTCAGTGAGGACTAAATTTATTCAGGAGATTTTATTAGAACATAAAGAAATAAATAGCTTTTCTATCTTCTTTTTATAATAGAACAGATGTGGACTTTCCTTCTGCTGACAATAATGGTCTTAATTCAATCAACACGGTTCTTATTGGCAAAGAAAAGCTTTTTGTGTCAAGTGAATACAGAACATGACCTCTAGAAATTTATCCTTCTCTCCTCCATGAGCAAAAACATATGAATTTCAAAAGCTAGTTTTGAATGCACATAATTGAATTAAAATCTCCAGTGAGTAATTCAAATATAGTGTTCTACATTACTGAGGAGTTAATACATTCCTGTATGTTCTTGAGTTAGTTTCCTATTAATATAAAATAACATGATTATTTTATCACATGGCTCACTTAAAATTAGGATCATAAAGAAACACCTTTAATGAATAAGAGAAGAGGAATATAATGTCACAATATTATAAGGGCTAAAATAAGTGTTTTATATTTAATAGTCTCAAATATGTGGCTTTTGGGGGGTCATCTTTCTGCCATAGGAAATTTCTGAGAAAAATCCAGGAAAGAAAGACCCGGAGGTGTGAGATCACAGTGACTTGATTCAGGGCAGAAGGTGAGTAGTCCAACAGAGGATATTTGTCTGAAGATTCCAATTCAGATCTCATCCAAATACAGAAAAAATATGTTCATCTGCAGACATCTTTATGTGCATGCTGAGGGATGTTGTGGATCTTGTAGACTGCGTAACCATCTTTGGGCAAGTTACCCATGACTTCATCTGGATTGAAAATGACAGGTGAGAGATTCATTGTGCATACGTAATGATTTGCCACATACGCACATGGTTGAATGTCCTAGGCTTCTCTGATGTTCTATGTAGGATCTGTTCTGCCCAGTATGGTATTTGATTATAGAGAGTGGCTGAGTTCAGAGATTTTAAGAACATCTAAAAGCAATCTTAATGACTTCCGGTAGGTGAAGAGACAGTTTCAAGAGTGAATGATGGATGTGTGGGCGAGCACTAGTGTAGGAATCAGGAGAATGAATCCTGGGCTCGGCTCCATCAATTGTGAATGATGTGTGTGGCTAAGTCCACTTCTACCCTGAGAGCCTAAAATATGTCCTTTCCAAATTGAGGAGAATAATCATTGTCTTGCTGCAGTGATAGTTGTTGTGGATATTAAAAGACAGGATAAAACAGTTGGAATCTCAGAAGTGTCCAGATATTTTTATATGGCTAAAGTGAGGGTTTATCCTAGATATGATAGGAGGAGGATCAAGGAAATTCCAAAACTCCAGCTTCATTTATAAAGTCAACATACATCTGATAGTTAGACCCTGGGCTGGTGCAAAATGCAACATAAACTTGAAGTATTTCTAATGCTGGAAACAAAAATAGACTAGATGAGTCTGCCAAATTTAGATTGTTAAAGCTGGTCAAGAGCAGTTAGTTGTGCGGTATTTAGAGACAGAGTGCAACTGGCAGAAGAGGGGTGGTCTCTCAGGGTGGATCACCCCAAACAAGTCTTGGAATGAGGCCTCCTGTGTAAGTTACCTGTTAGGAAAAATTCTCTGAAAAATGGTCAGGGAGGGGAAAATGGGATGAAAAGAGGAAAGTGATGGTGTGTTATCAAATCAAGATCCATAAATAGTACATTTCACACAGTCTCACGGGAGAGATGGGAAAAGTGTATGAATCACAGCTAAATCTTAGGGGGAAATGGTAATAGAGAGTGAGCTCTTCACTGAGGAGCAAATGTCAATTCCAAATGGACAGTGATACACAACTCTGATAGATTGAATTCAGGCTATATGTGCAGAATGGCTGTTGAGATAAATGGATGTTTATGAACTTTCACTAGTATAGTCATTTATATGTTCTATAGAATATGAATAAATGTCTACTCTATGCCATGTTCTAAGTGAAATACTAATGAGTGCCCTCAAAAGGGTGCCCCTGGGTGAGGAAGAGGGAATCAGATGAGAATTTATCTTGAACAAGGAAAACTGTTATGGTGCCCAGAGTTTCTGTCACAGTAAAAAAGGAGGAAAGCACAATATTATCTTTAAGTTCTCTTCTAGTTTCAAATTCTGGTTCCATTTTTACCACTGTGATGCTGGGCAAATTACCTGACATTATACCTCACTATTCCCATCTGTGCCATAGTGATTATTGCTCTTCTTGAGAGCTTGTTTTCATGAAAATCAAACGTGGTAATGAATTTAAAAATCTTCAGAAAACTGTTATGAAGGAAGTTTGTGTCTTTTCTGTTGACTATTTAATTCATAGGAGTAATCTTCATTTGTCTGATTCTTCAACTACCCCCCAAACAAACCTGAAGATAACTTGGTTTTCATTTATATCTATGCAAGGAGGAAAAATGCTGGCAACAGTCTCCTGGAAGTTATATTACACACTGCAAATTAAACTTCAGCTTTATAGACCTATAACAAAATGACAATAAAATGTATAACATCTTCCTTAGAGTTTAAGGCAAAATGAATTCTGGTAGCTGGGGGAAACTTATATTCTTCTCACAGGCTGTTTGCTCATGAATGTCTTCAAGAACCTTGTTCTGGAGGCTTGGTCCCCAGTCTATGGTGCTACTGCCAGGTGATGGGACCTTTAGAAGCGGGGATGTAGTGGGAGGAAGTTAGGACATGGAGAATGCCCTTCACAGGATTTGGGGACCCCAGCCACTTCCTGTCTCTCTCACTGCTTCCTGGTGTCCATGAGTGGAGCAGCCCCTCTGCCATGTGCTCTGCTCATGATGAATTGTGCTGCCACACAGCCCAAGCAGTAGGGTGAAGCAACCATGGACCCTCTGCAGCTGTGAGCCAAAGCTAACCTCTCCTCCTCATAAGTTGATCATGTCAGGTATTTTGTAACAGTGATAAAAAGCTAACACAATGTTCTTCATCACAAAATCCTTTTCATTCTTGAAGCAGCATATAAGTGAAATAGTTGCATGTACATTTGGAAGTTAGAGGAGAGCTCTGATTTGCTTGAAAGAGTCAGAATCTTTGAGGGCTCAGAGAATGGTGCTTTAATCTCTTTTCTGTCTTACACGTTGGTGAGAGCAAGCGAGCGACACCTAACACTGGCAGGTGAGATCAGCAGCTACTCTCTTGTCATGTGTGCCCAGAGTGGGAAGGCGGATGGCACAGGCCAGGCAGTGCTGCTCAGGGCTGCATGTGGGGATGGTGGGGACAACCAGAAGTTGTGGAATGAGGCTTTGGAGTAAAGAGGTAGGAGTGCCTCCTGGTTCCTGTAGAAAATGTGATTGGCTTGTTTGCATAATTCTATCAGCAGGGAACTGAAATCAGTGGCTTCTCAGGGATAAGTAGGTACTGCAACTGGTCAGGTGAGAAGGAGGGTTGTTTGGCTAGGGAGTTTTATTTGCACAGTAGGGAGGGACACTGGTTGTTCAGCCTTTTGGAGGCCTATGGATTTCAATGGATATCAATGCAACACTCAACTGAGGCTTAACTTTCAGCTTGTGCCACAGATACACAGAGAAGAGTAGGCTGAAAGAAGAGGAGTCTCCCTGACCAGTTGTGGTAAAGAGAAATTTGGGGGAAATTGCACGTTTCCTAAAGGTTTTTGCATACAAGTTTTTATAGGCGTGCTAAGTTAAGTCTGATCCTCCATGTCTCCTCTGTGACATTCCATAGCATCTACGTCAACACTGCAGGGTTTGATAAAAGTGGGTCCCGAAGGTGAAAGCAAAGAAGTACTTAGTCCAGCTCTGAGTTTTGTATGAGGTTGGAACAGAGATGGCTGGTGGGAACAGTAGTCATGAATCGGATCCATCAGTAGCTCAGGGTTTTGGTTTTCTGAGACCATTATCTGCTTTCTGATTTTGTCAGCACCCTCAAAGCTCAGAATGAAATGTGCAGTCATTGGCCAAAGCAAATGATAATCAGTGGCCTCCTCTGCTTCTCAGAGACATTCTACCAGGCCATGTATTTCTGTATCTGATGAATGAGTGTTCTCATTGTAGTAATGCTAAACTACAATTGCGACCATTTCTCTGTGGTCCTTTTTTCTTAGTCAAGTTTTTCCTTTCCTTTTCTTTCCTTGTTACTTCTTTACTTATTCAGCAGGAAGCAAATCTTTTGAAGAATGAATTACCTGAATGTCCATTAAATATTTTTATAGATTTTACTTTGAGTGGGAGTTCATCCTTGAACAAATTTTTATCTGTCAAGTAACTATCTTTAACCACATCTCAGAAAACTCACTTTAAAGAACATGATTAACATTTCCAAGAAGTGTCTCTGTGATTGCATTGAAGTAGACAAAAAAATACAGATGGAGAAAAGAGTATAATTTTTATTCTTATTCTCTTTAAAACTATTCAGAGATAGGAGAGAGTACCTAGTTTCAAAATCAGACTAGTGATCTAATACGTATTTACATAGTTATTTTTAAAATCCTGAAAGGTCTACAGGTGTTTGCATGATACAAATAGTAGCTAAACAACATATTAAGCAGTAGATGGAAGAGTAAGAAGAAAAGGAAAAAGAAAATAAAGGTAGAACTTCTAAGGCATGGATATTAAAGGAAGGTTAGGGAACAGACTCATAAATGTGTGGATTTTCTATTTTCTTACTTTATTCTTTTATTTTTCCTACCAAACTGCCAAAGAGGCTTTTTCAGGTTTGAACTAATTTTTTTAAATAAACTCACAAATTCTACATGCTGTGAACTCTGTGGTGTATAGCAAACTACTGGTATAAATTTGCAAACCTGCTAGTCGTAACCTTGATGTTCTTTGACCTTTCCACCAATTCTTGTATCAAGAATTTTTGTTTTTCAATCTTATCCTCTTCCCCATTTTCTGAGGCAACAGCACCTCATTTTGCCTTGGCTGAAGGGTGTGTCAGCATGTACATGTAATACGCTACACCCATTCCTGTACTCCAGGAGGAATGAATCATGCAAACTAGAAATATGAGCACTCTGGCTACAGTTACGGGTTCAGGCATGAGCTCCTGACTCAACCAACACCTTTGCAGCCAGTTGCATCTGGTTCTGGCCTGTAGCTTGAGCTGGTTGAGAAGTGGATTCTCTTCTGGAAAACTGCATCTTCTGATCCAGCTGTAAACCTGTGGCTGCTGGGAGTTGCTATCAGACCTGATCATGAAGCCAACTCAGGGGAAAGGGGATAGGAAAGTGGGAAACGGCCTGATTTTTCTTATTTGATTTTGCTTGAGAATCTCCTAATTTTAGTTTGGACATAGGCCTTCTGATTATGCTGTGTGTCTTTTACATTTGTAATTATCCTCATCATGTCTCATTTTGTACACTCGTTCATAAGCTCTGCCCTAAGGTAAACTAACTTTATCTCCCCTTAGGACATCCCGATGTGAAGTGACTAAGAGGAGAGCAGTAGGCAGCCTGGCATCCTCCCATTCCTCATGCAGAAGAGGGGGACTTCTCTGCAGAGGAGGAAAAACAAGTAGGTGGCCCTTCTTATCTCATCATCGACTTGATCTCTAGGTGATGATCTAATGTTATTTGCCAGGAAGAAACATCTCAACTCTTAACTGCCTTTAGTTGGATGCCTGTAGCTACAAATTGCTCAAAAATACAACTTGGGACCTGTAAATCAATCACATTAATTATGCATTTCCCTCAAACCAGTAAGAATCACATACATATCAGAGTAAAATATAAGTTCTTTGGATAAAACACACGCACAAAAACAGTAGAGTAAAGGAGAATTTCCCTAACAATGGCAGGCAGGCTGGTCTTGGGCTTTACTGATCTCTGAGACAGTAGCTCACCCTGAACAGAGAGCCATGGCAGCATCGAGAAATGATTTTCCCACCCCAGAGCCCAGCCATCTGGAGGATGCAACTGAGGCTGAACATGGGGACCTGGCTGGCTGACTGCTGTATTTCTCACTGGATTCTCGGCTGTGTCTGACGGTCATCCTTGCCTGAGTCATGACTGATGGAGTATGTGTCCATCTGCAGTGATTGGTTCCGGAGGAAATTTCTCCAGGTACCCTACAGCCGTCTTCTGAACAAGAAGGAACATTCTTTCAGTCTTGGAAGCTACTGAGACTGAGTTGAGAAGAGCCTGAGTTGAGAGGCTCTGATCACTCCAGAGTTGCACAGGAATGCACACCATTATTTCTGGAAGCTTCTGGAGGAGCAGAATGGGATTACACGGACACAGGGCAGGACTTCCTCTGAGGGGTTGTGGGTTCCAGTCCTTGTCTTGGTGTACATCTGGAAAAGTAACTGAGATTCCTCATCTGCAGTTTCTCTTGTCATAAATGAGAGTAAAGAACTGAATCTTTGTTGCCAGGTTGGAGAACATTTCAAGCTCAGCTAGATTTGTATGTGAAATCACATAAATTTAAATGCTCTGTTAAATTTTATTTTTTGATTATATAGGCTAAAACAAAACAAAAAGTATTGCAAGAGAATTCTGTAGGACAAACCACGTACTCTTCTGTCTTTGTTCTTGGTTTCCCCTGCTCAACTTCTCAAAATGTGTTGTCTGCTTTCAATTCCTTGTCTTCTCTGTTCCCCATCTCTCATACCGCAGACTCCACTGTGGCTTTTTCCTTCATGCTCTGGAAACGATCTCTAAGAAAAAAAACTCCTCAGAACTTAAAATTATTAAAGACAATGGGTAAATTTCTGTCCAAATCTTACCTGGATAGCATGTGGAAATCTCAGGAAGGCCCCTCTGGAAGGCTCTTTGGTGGCTTCATGGACACACCACTGCACTTTCCTCCTGTCTCTCTACATGTTCCTTTTCATCTTTCTGTCCTTCAACTATTATATTTTTAAAGTTTACTTTTAGCTTCTTAAGATCCTGTATTCTGCATGTACAAATCTTATTCGTGTTAATAGGTTCAAATACTCTTTAGACAAAAATCAAGTCCCAAATGTGTATGTCTAGCCTAGCACTAAACCTTCCTTTGGACAATTGAGACATGCTGCTTTATAAATATTTTATTTGTAGGTAATTCACAAGCCACATGACTACAATTCAAGTCATGGTCTTTCCCTTAAAACCCAGTCGTGCTCCAGGATTTCCTGTCCCATGCCTGTTGTTAATGAACGTACAGACAAGCAAGCTAGAGCTCCAGTGCTGAACTGCGGTTGTCGCTTTTTCCCTTGTACTCGGAATCTCTCATCTATACGCTGACCTATTTCCTCAGCCTTCTGCCTCTCCATCTACACTGCTGTCACCACAGCTCGAACATCTACTCCTGAAACCACCGCTACCCTTTCGGCTTCAGTCCATTCTGCAGACACATTGATTTGTTTTTTGAGAAATCTGATTATGTCCCTTTCAGCTCAAAACCATTGATGGATTAGTAATTTGGGGGAGGGGGAAATAAGACATTTTCAGTTTTATGGTTACAGAACCTGTTTACCTAATATGAGCTGGACTTCTTGTCCCTTGCTAGTTTTACCATGAACTGCTTTTCACCTTGCTACCCTGTTTTTTTCTCCAGTTGGTGGAGTTCACCAAGGTTTTTTTCTACCTCAGGTCTTTCACTTGGACCACACACTTCCTTTTCAGATGGACTAAACATGCTCTTCAATTCTTCACTTCCTGCTGCTCCTCTGACAGATATCTGTTCAAACACCAAGTCCGCTGCAGGGAAGCCACTGCCCCTGCACATGGGGGGAGGTCCTGTTATTTGTACCCTCGTAGTGGTCTATATTTCTCCTTCCTGGCAGCAGCACAGGCATAGCTAGAACTGTGCCGTGGTTTCATTGCTGTCACCTCCCCATTGTCTGCAAGGGATGGTGCTGTGGTTTATGGTCGCCATTCTTGTTCAAGTGGGTCTCATAGTTACAACTGTCTAGAAAAGGTTCAGTAAATGGCAGTCGAGTGAATGAGTGATTTTCCATTTTTTTAGACTTAAATATCTGACATATATTTTGAAATTATAAACGTGTACTTTGTGTTAGATACTAACAATGACACCTTGCTTCTTCTCCCACGCAGGTGCTGGAAGGTGGCATCTTCACATCTGTTCTGCTCCTTTCAGGAGCCACACTGCCTTGACAGATGTTGCTTAAACACTGTCTTTATGTAACGAAAGGTGAATTTACTGTTACTGCGGCGTTAGCATTGGCGGAAGTGTTTAAATTCTCAGTTGCAGAGTCCGGCACCAGGGTCGCTGCACAGGGAAAGAATCAGGTGGAAGGACACTTACCTCCATGCTTCACAGGCTGCTTTGAAAGCTCAGCCTCAGCATTCCGACTTTCTCCTCCTCCTCCGGGTCCTCACTGTCTTTGCCTCCACATGCCTTTTAGTCTCTTCTTCTATTACTGTTTTGGTGAAAAGATTTATTTGCACACAAAACATTTGGCTTAGAAACTTCCGCGCCCTTGGACCCGCCTTATCTCTCAGCCCTCAGAGGCCCCTTTGTCACCAGCAGTGTAGAGCCCGGGACACTTCGGAGTCCTGGAAGCTCTTCTGGTCCTGAGCCTCAGGCGGGCGGCGCTCAGCTTGGCTGCAAACGGCGCCAGCCTGCGTCTGGTCGGCGCCTGTCCTGTTCGCGGCCCCCAGAACCAGAGCGTTTAGTCCACATCGCCCCGCTCCTCCTCAGCAACTTTACTCACTCTCTCGCTACCCCCAGGAATCGGAAGCCCCCATCCCCCCACCCCCGCCCTGCAAGTGACATATAAACGGGATCAAGTTTATTCTGTCTTAAAAAGAGATTTAAAATATCGCTTTCTGGAATTTCTGTCTCCTCCAAGTACTCTTCCTCCGTCTTCCCCTAGGAGCGGAAATGGGTAGCGCGTGCGTGGCTCCACTCTGCCTTTTCAGGCTCTCTTCCCGTCCAAGTGCAGTCCGGCTTCCTCTGGGACTTGAAAGTGAAGGCTGTCTCTGGTTGACCTTTCCATGTAGCCGAATACACATAGCTGTGTTCATTTCTCCCTTCACTTCTGAACTGCTGTTCATCCCCCCGCACAAGGATTTCTTTCCGAATCTCGCCCTTCACATTGGATCTTTGAGAGCCATTCTCTCCTAACTTGCTGTTTAAATCTCTTCTACCTTTCTGTCCCTCTGCTGGTGTCTTCTGCTCCGCAGTGTAAAACATGAAATTCCTAGCCACGATCAGCTGTCTTCTTGTCGTCCTTTCAGGGCATCCTAGCTCTCCTGTCTGATTAGCATCTACACCCCATGGCTGCAGGGGGCGACGGTGGAAAGCTTGAACTCGGGCCAGAGAGCATCACTAGACGTGGAGTGGCTGCTCTTTGCTGAATGCTCCTAGGTAAATAACTTTACATCAGTGGCATGAGATTATTTTACTTGCCTTCCCGGTATAACAGAGCGATCTGAGTGTCTATACTCAGGGTAAAAGCCAGAAACATACTTTTCTGATTTATTCTGATAACTACAGGTGTGAGACATCTTCAAGTCTGAAACCTCTTTCCATCTGCCCGCACACAGTCCCAGATTCAAATGGTTGGCTTGGCTTCGCATTTTTCCTCTTTATGATATTTTACAATAATTTTGACATTAGTAAAAAAGTGAGACATGGAGTAGGAGCTGTATTTTGCATTTTGAAGTTTGATGTCTTTCCAGGCTAGCCATCTGTGGAAGACACTCTGCATACACACGAGGAAGTAGCGGCTCCCTGATACTGTGGACCACGAAGGTAAGCAAGCGATCCACGGTCCACACTGCAGGTGGTGATGAGCTCCATGCTCCCGAGGGCAGACTGTACTAAATGCATTTTCAGAGCCTGATAGTTTCATTTTAGGATGCATATATTGGGAAATAGTCCCATCATAAATCAGGGAGGAAGTGTGTTTACCTCTGCCAAGGATTTGTGAACTAGTGAGAGAGAAGCAGGAACCTTTGGGACTGGAATGAGGGGTATACCAAGATTCCAGGTTCCACAGCAGCAGAAGTTCCAGCAGGAGCATCCGTGCTGGTGTTAGAGAGGAGAGTGGAAGCTTATGTAGCAGTGGTTGAAAACTATGGTGAGTGTTACATTGAAAAGAATATGATAAAAGACACATTGCCCTTAATCCCCCTAAAATACTCTCCCTCACACCAAACACACCCTTCTTACCACTTCCTCCAGTTCCTGGAGTCCTCCTGCACGAGTGTGTTTAGGTGGGATCAAAATCACAATGAGAGGTGCTGCCGAGCGCCGTCCAGGGGAAAGGCAGACTCATAAAGCCTTATCCCTGGGCCTGGCACCAGGCAACTTCCAGCAGTAACCCAAAGTCAGAGCGACTGCGAGTGGTAGGTGTTTGGAGCTGATTCAGGACAACCACAGCAGACACCGCAGCACAACTAAAGACGCACACAAAACAGGACGTCCAGAGCTGCTTCCGAAAGGGGTAAGTAGGGGCATAAGTATGTACAAAGCAGGGGTGATGGTGAGGGGGATTCGTGGCAGTGTGTCTTTTACTGTCATCAATGTTTTAAATATACGAAGACATTTTTTATCACACTTCATATATTGGTGTCAGTGGTGGCAATGGAGCCGTCTTAAGGGATGTAGGGTTTTCAGGAATTGGAAGCCTTTGGTTTTTAGAAGAGATTTCAAGATTTTGTACAACAATGGCAAGCTAAATAACAGCACTTAGTATGTAAATCCTTTTTCTGCTAAAATAGTCGTTCCTCCTCTGTCTAATGAGTCTTGCTCAGTTACTGCCATGCCTGGAGTAATTTCCTTGACAGGAAAGAGACTGTTCTCTGCTCCCCAGTGTCTCCAGATCTGCAGCTAGAGTCCATGTCCTGAGGTGGGTGGAGAGCTGTTCATAAAATAAAACTCAGTAGGACAAAGCTCACGCTTAGAGGACTGAGCAACGTTGCTCGTTTATATGAACAAGGTCCTAGAATTAACGGTAGGGATTGATTCTGTGGGTATTCCATCAAGAAGCAGGCGAGGCTCATAATCTTAGATTGGATAGAGTTTACTAATATACAGAACATCTCAGGGCTGGAAGATGTTTTAATTGTTTGCCTCGTTTGTCGACTGAAATCTAGAAGTACTGATGTCGAGTGCTAGAATAATGTTAAGCATTGGACCGTGCTCAAAATATCTAGTATGATCTAGAGTTTGGCAAGTTATGCCATGGGAGCCAACTCCGGCTGCTGGCCTATTTTAATTTGGTTTTGTTTCACTTTGCTTTGCTTTTTACAATTTATATGTTAAGATGTTTTTGTTTGTTTTTAAATGGAATCAATTTAAATGGTAATATAATACCCATTATATCTTTGATTTTTGACTCTTAATTTAAAATGTTTGCTATCTTTGTCCTTGAAGAAAGTCTGCTGATTCTTACTCTAGGCTTTTAAGAAAGGACCTTAAATTCCTGGAGATAAGAATGATGGATTGGTTTATTTTATGTTGTCGGATTATTTCCCGCTAAATGTCTTCCAAAAGGGTCTCCTGTTGTCAGTGTGCCTGCAACCCAGTGAGAAAAGGGAGAAGTATGTTTGAAACATAGGCACTGTGAGATTGTCATGTCCAATGACAAAAATTAATGAAAGACTATGAGCCAGATAATTCCAGAGATTTCCAGAAACAAAAAATATATAGCGTAAAGGTAGAACATGGCTTGGATTGCTGAAGGATGAGAATTTGGGTTACTGCGGTGAGTAGAGAACCCTAACTAAATGAGCAGCTAGATGAGGTATAGATGAAGGAGGAGAAATGTTGGACATTTTGACTGTACCTTTATAACTACTTGCAGAATTGCATGTTTTCTTCTTTCATGCATCATTTGTACATTTAGGCATTCTAATATTTTCCCCTTTATTATGTTATATAGGCTATTTTAATGGTGGGAAACTTTAAGTCCTAACCCACAGTTTATGGGTTGTGCAGCAATGAAAGAGACTCCTGCAGAACTAGAACAGAGATAACATTCTCCAGAGGCCCTGGACTGGACAGTTACTGCTCGCCAAAGGGACTTTGTAATGCCTTGATCTGAGGACAGCACATGGGAGTATACCTTTGTGAAGTGGAGACTGATCTATGAAAGAGAAATATATTTGTTGTTTGCATGTTTAGGTAAGAAAGAGGGTTATGGACCTTCATGCACCCATGCAAATTCATTTTTGCTGCCTGGCACCTCTAAACTTCCTTTGTGCAATGGAAGCATTTTTTATGTGATGGCTCATTCGTTCCTAAGATTAAAGCCACACATACACAATCTGTCAGAATGAGGGGGACGGAAGAAGCGTGTGTCTCCAGAAGTCGCAAGGTCTCACCACTCATGTCCAGTGCTCAGTGTCCCAAATGAGAGCGGGACTTTTCTGGAGCTGGCCCCTGGTGGAGGCAGTATAGTGTCCAGAAAGAGTTTTCTCAAGGGGAACTTGAACTTTTTTTCTAGCAGCATACACCGCAGGCCTAATGATCTGTCCCTCTTGAAGAGCTTATGAACCATTTAATATCATTTCATTTAGTGAGATCTTTTTTTCCTTGTTGTTATGCATTTTGTTCTGCATGCAAGAGCCCTGATTGATGTACTTTTCTATAATATCACAGCTATCAGCTTTTGCAGTGTAACCATCCAGACCCCAAACTCAGTCTTCAGAGCACAATAATTTCAGCTCACCCGTCTGTGAGCCAAGCATTTTCACCAGTTTTCTCTGGGCTCATTTATGCAGTTGCCATCAGCAGCCAGGGGCTGGTGGGTCTCTGGTGGCCTCATCTCATGACTGGCGGTCCATGCTGACTTTCAGAGAGTGTGAGGTGTGACTTGGGCATATGTTTCCAAGACATTCTCATGGGCTTGTTGCTGTGTGAAAAGTGCCAGGCACCTTTGAAATCCATGCTCATGTCACGCCTGATAATCTCTCACTGGACAACACAAGTCACTTGGCTGAGCCCCCAGTTTAATGCATAAAGAAAAGGAATCCAACTTTGGCAAAGTCACGTTGCAGACAGGTGGACAAACAGGAGCAGGGGAATTCACAGCCTGTTTTGCATTCTGCTTACCAACAGAATGTTCTGATGTTGTTGTTGCTGATTTCATTTGACTTGGGATCTTGAATGTACTCTCTTTGAGGCTTTTGATTTTGGGAGCATGCTCTTTTCTCTTCCGGGTCACCATTTCTCCCATGGAGCCTTGTTCTCATTGTCCAAGACTCCGTGTCTAGAGGAAATCATGGGCTGTGAGCTGCTTTTTCATCTAAATTCCTGCAAGATGTCCTGGATCTGTCATATTGCTTATTTCCCAGTAGTTTACCATTAAACTTCCACTAGAGGACAATTTCCAGGAGGATGAGGATTCCCTGTGGTCTGCTAGCTGCTGCATGAACTACTGCCACATAAGGTGTGACTCTGCATTGCTGAGTTTCTGTCTTCTCTGAGGGTCATTAACCATGGCTGTTGTCTTGGGGAAACCTCTGCAAGCCTCAGGGATTGTCAGGTTCTAGAGAGGCCTTCGTAAAGAGGCTGCTTGCTGTGGCTCTGGAAGGTCTGAACCTTCATTATGCTCCTCACGATGTGAAGGCAGATTCTGTGTGCGGGCCAACCCCAGGAACTGGAGATTCTAACTCTAGAATACTCCTTTTGCATGTTCTGACTGCCTAAATATCTACCCTTCTGTCTTTATAATAAAATAACAATGCTTTACAATCCTGTATATTACACAGCATTCTGGATTATTTGGGCAGTCCTGGCTTCAAATTTACTTTGCTTTTGGCCAAGGTGAATTTCAATGCTTTATGGTTTCCTCTTGGTTTTAGAGAAGTGGGAAATAAATCATCCATTGTACCCCAACTCCTTTCTTTCAGTAAACAGAACAGCATGCTAAAAAACCACAGACTTACTCTGTATCCTTTCAACGAACTTGTGAAGTTGACAAAATTCAATTCTTTTCAAAGGATTAGACTAAAAATAAGATTGTATATATTCTGGCATCTCTCTTAACCCCAAGCAAACATGAGCCATCTTTCAGAACTTATAGGGCGATTTAGGGACTCTCCCATTATCCTACAGTGGCCAAAATAGCTCAGTTTTTTTCCTTTTGCCCCCTGCCCCCAACTTTCCTGCAAGTCTGGGCCAAATCAGATAGTCATGGAGAGGGGAGATCTTCCTCACTCTCCTCTTTGTAGTAGGATAATGGAAACTGCTCTCTTAGTCAGATCTGAGTTTTGAACTCCAGTTCTGGCTGCTGAAAGTTTTTGGATTTGGGGTTTGATGTTATCAAGAAAATTCATCTGGTCTGATGCCGAAACATATTGTTTAATCTAGCAAGAATGTGAGCAGGTTGTCCTTCACGGCGAATGTTGGAGTTCTCCACCTTTTTTTGTGGTGATGTCCACAGCAGTGGACTGTGTAACCGGAGCCAGGTTTGTCTGGGGACAACTCTGCAGCACAGTTTAGTTTAGTCTGTTTCCACCCTTATCCAGACCGTGAGCAGATTCAGCAAATGAATGAAACAATGCATAAATGTCCTAGTTTCTTGAAAAGTTTGATTTGTTTATGAACCTTAGCCTGATTCTCTCTTCTAATAAAATTTTGAATACTTAGCTTAGGAATCATTTTCAAACACCCACACAGAAAATAACTTTACTATGGGGATTTATTTATTTGACTCAGGCAAAGTATGTTTTTTGCTTGGAAAAATATTACCTCTAATAATAAATTTTGACCCAAATTGATCAATTTCTTTATGTCTATTTTGTTAATTATGCCATTTTCATTGTTGATAAATATGTAATATAGAGGTTACCATTGTAAAACATAGTCTTTTACTTTTTTAGCATAAACACTAAGTGAGCAGGACAAATGTTCCTGAAGTACACAAACACAGCTCAATTTTAGAATCCTTGTTAAGAAAGCAAACATTGCTAATATATGTAGAGGAAACATCTTGTCAAGATTGAGATGCTGTCTTAATCCATTCAGACTGCTATACTATAATGTTCTATAATATAATAACATGGCTTAGAGGGCAGCTGTTTATTTCCTGAAGTTCTGGAGGTTGAGAATTTCAAGTCAAGGCACCCCAGGTCCGGGGCGTATTGAGCCAGTTTATAGGCACTGTCTCCCGTGGTGTCCTCACTGTGTGGAAGGCACAAATAGCTCTGGGAGTGGCTTGTGTAAGGGCCCTGATCCCAGCCGTTTGAGCTCCGCCCTGATGAACTGATCACTCTCACAGGCCTCATCTCCCAAAGCTACCACCCTGGGAGCCAGGGTTTCAAGATGAGGAACAGACCTAACAGTCGGTCCGTGAAAGATGCCTTTGTATGTGAGCTGTGGACACTAAGGCCACCAGACAACTCTAGGTAGCGCAAAGAGTGTCTGTGCAAAAGGAATATTCTTATTTCTTGATTTTTTTTGACTACAGACTCTATAGATCTACATTCTCTTTTACCTATTTTATGTTATTTACCGTATCACCAAGATAATTGTTCCTTTATAATTATCTGAGAGAAAATTCTTTTGTTGGAAAGAATCAGCTTTCATGTGTTCAGGTGTGGTTTCTTTCTCAGGTTAGGGAAAAGGTGAGATAACATCTTGCAGGTTTTTAGGTCATTGCTCCAGAATCAGATTAGGCTAATGAAAAAATTCTGCAGCAAAACTGTCTCCCACTTCCATTCAGCTTGCTGTCATTGTTTCTGTTTGTCTTTACAGCACACTGGTGTTTGATAGCTTCGTGTGATTTATTTGTTAATGATCTGAGTTGATCCTTCCTTCTTTTGGCTGTGTGGATTGGTTCACATCACTGAAACAGCAGGATCACAGTCACCTGACACTTGCAGTTCAAGTCCTAAGTAACTTTCACATGATCATGATGTTATTAGTCTTATTATTGCTGCCTTTTCACACCAACAGTCCAATGGGAGAATAGAATGACCCGAGGATCCATTTCAGTCCTGACTATAAATTCTGGTTCCTACACAACCAAAGAGTC